AAGATTATGTGAAATTGAAGGCCTATTCATATCATTGTGAGATAATTCAGCTACTAATCCTTGATGACATTAAACGAAATAGAGTGAATGCATCTCATATATATGAGCTACGGGTAGTCTCGAAAGGAATGGAAAAAAAAGTGTTTTTCAGGTTTATGCCAACTGGCCAAGCTCCAGCTACACCGTCACGGATGTACAATTTCTAAATCGCATTTTATAATGGGACTTGTGTCAATAAGACCGACTTGCATTTTCCCTTGGAAATGCCCATATTACTCTTTTCCAGAGGAGTAAGTTGACAAAAATGCATTCATTGGCTTTTACAAAAAATTGGCGTCCCTTGCGCTGGGTAGGTTTACTTAGTATGCCAAAATGTCTCAGCGCAAAGCCGGCTCTGCTGGAGACACTCTTCGAAACGGGCACAACCTGAGCCAACCGGCGACCCCTGTCGAGAGGCTGTAGACGCGATGTGTGGGGGTTGGAGTATGAGTTATGGAGTACGAGGACAGTCGGCCCTAGTCCTGCAGGCTCTGCCTTGGCTACAAAGGTTTGTCCTGATGGGTAAAGACAATTCCGGTATTTATTAGAGGGGCACGTTGAGGAGGCAAGCTGTATAGCCTTAATCCATCCATCAAAGTGAGCGGTTAGACGAGTTACAGCTTCTTTGTCTCCTCCGGTGCCTTTCTGCAAATTTCCCAGATCGTTCAGTTGATAAACGTGCATTCTAAACTGGGAATGGTTGGAAAAGCAGAAAAGAAACTAGGTCACAATGGAGTTGTCGATTCTTAATGGGAGTACAGCTCACAGCGCCTCTTAGCTACCGTTGTGTTGGCTACAGCATAACTGAATGCGGCAATCATGTTGGCATTTTGAGCAGGACCATAATCAAGCTGAACAGGATAGCCTTATTCTGGTGTTGGCGGATGAGATCGCCTGGACCTTTTGAACCTTTCACTAAAAGAGGGGTCTTCCGTGCCCTTGACTCTGGCCCACTTTTCATTCGCACTTACATTTTGCACAACCTGCCCTGTACCTTGGTCCCCCTATTTACATCTTTTAGCAGTTCTCTCCAAAACTGGCTCTTGAGCCTGATTGGGCAAATCAGCTCATTCCACCCAGATTTGTGGGCTCTTTTTTCTATTATATGCGAAGAAAAGTTGGGCTTTGAGAAATCTCTTGTTTCAAAAATGTTGAGCTTACTTCCATCCCGAGTGAAAGTGTTTGGTGAAGAGATCCGAATGCCGATTTCTCCACAATACCACTGCGGATTCCTCTTGACCAGCTGTCGATTGGCTTTACTGGAACATTCTTGTTGACGCTGTTTCCGATGCACTCTTTCGATTCCGGTGAAAATGCTCTACGCACCGGAATTGAAAAAGGGGGCCTCGGAAACAACGTGAAACAAGGTTACACTGAAGCCAATCGACAGCTGGAAAGAGGAATCCGCCATCGTCTTCTGGTGAGATCGACCTTCTTCTACATGACAATTCATGTATTTTCAATTACTCAGTCGCGAAGCCGATGCAGGAAGTCCTTAACTCTTTCATTCCTATCTTTATTATGCAGTAATTACCAAATGATGCAGTTTCCAAATGAACATATAGACCGATATTCTCTGTTTTGTACTACTTTCTCGGCTACCATGGTCATTTAAGCGATGCATCACTGTTTCTTAAGCCCGATTAAAGGGTAATGGAAGTCTGCTTATAACGCGAAATATAAATGACTTATTCGAATGCCATAGCAAATACAACAAGTTTTGCCGGTATCGTCAGTGAGAGCTGCCATCTCTAATACAGAGTTGCAACTAATAAAAGTGGCAAGTGAAAGCAATCCCCTTGAACAATTTTCTTTTTAGTAGTTGGGACATCACTTGTTGCCCCTATGTGTTGCTCTATCTTCTAGCGTTGCATCTCTCTATCTCAACCTCACTTCAATTGGCTCATCTACTTATTCACACTATTCCGAGCTCTCGTCTTCT